ATAACTATTAATGCTATATTATTTTGGACCTTTAGGATTCTAGAATCAGAATGAGCATCCACTTTCCCCGCGAGGATAAAAAATACAAGAGAAATATACAAAAGTGACATGCCACTAGCTCTTGTTCCCTCCCGTTCAACAATTCGCATCTTTGTTACCATCTAACTACAACTTTTTCTCTCACCCTCATATACATATATATATATATATATATATATATATATATATATATATATATATATATATATATATATATATATATATATATATATATAAGGTATTAATATTATGAGATAGTAAGTAATAGTATTATGTTTATTAGGAGGCTCATCAAAGAGGCAACAAAATGAAGAAAATAAGGTTATTTAAATTCTTCCATCTTTTTTCTTGCAATAGCCTCTACAATGTTTAATTCCCCATGAAGATACTTTATCTTGTTTAAACTTTAAAGTGTAAATTTAATAACTATTAATCCAATTTATCATTCTTGATTCCTTAAATTTTTTTTATGTTTGTCTATAGATTTCAAATACAAATTCAATGAAATCTTCTATTTGACTCAAAATGGGTGGATGAATAGTGCATCTTTCAAAAGGTTAATATATAAAAGTAATATTTTCATTTTTTTTATAATTACATCACTTCTAATTCTAATTGCATTATTTATTTTGATTATCCGATAGCAGCCTCAGATCATAACATGGAATTGATTCACCATCAGAGAGTACAGGATCGTGATTTTTTATAATCTATTAGTACACTATTAGAATTAACTAAATTACCTTATTCGAAAAAGCTTTATTTATGATACAATTTTCAAATCTACAATAATAATTATATATTAGTATGTTATTTTGAATTTGTATTAGTACAAAGTTCGAATTTTAGTGTATCAGTTTTAATGCCTTGATGTGTTCATTTATTGGAATATAAAATTTAAATACAATTTCTGGCTTCAATCTGTTGGTTATTCGACATGGAGTGCTAAAATTGAAGATTATGTTCACCCGATCATTTATTTTCAACAACATTAATTTGCATGAGATGATCCCGACTCATTGATCAATATAGTGGCTTCATGGAGGAATTTCAGACTGCATGCTTATTTATATTATACATTTCAAAGTCTGACACGCACTTTGGATAGGGATAAATTTATTTTGGATTCGAGTTTAGCCATTTGGACTTCAAACGACCGTTCTCCAAATATGAAAAAGTTGAACGTGTTCACGTGAAATCTGGATGATTTCATTTTTCATTCCGGTTTTTGTATGTATTACTTGAATTGTAGTTGTTGGATTATATTTAATTTTATTTTCTTAAAATTGAGGATGGTTCTTTAGTTTCTTCTATGTTACACTTGATTAATCTTAAATATCAATAACAAACAACAATATTATACAATTTATGCCAAATTTGTAATTACGGGGAGTGATATTTTTTTTAAAGTTGTGGAGGGATACCCAATGTATTAGTTACACATTTGACATTACTTACATTTTCATGATACATGTGGGGAAATGACTTTTCAATGAAGAAAATATTGAAATAAAAATCAAAAAATAGATTCTTGAGTCATTCCATTATTTATTATGATTATTAAACCAAATAAAAAATAATTTCAATCAAAGACCACAGTATTGCTAAATCAAATGAAATTCCCTTTTTTTACGTTTAGTTGAATCGTCAATAACAAATTGTATCTGAGGGCTTGCGAACGTCGAGGTTCACTAAATCTCGAGTCCACATTCAGTGGGTTTTGTCTCCAACTAATCAACACCTCGCCTGCAATTTCAACCTGTATCTACAGCCCCAACTCTCCGATGTGAAACCCTTAATATCTCAAGTGCCTCCCACCAAAGCCGCAACTGCGATCAACAAATTTATAGAAACACAATAATACAATATATAACCAGAAATCTCCCAAAATTCTTGCACCATTCTGCCACAACATTGTGCTTTTTGATTGTTTGTCAATTTTAATTGTGGTATTTGTGAAGTTTCAATAAAGGGTGACATTGAATAAATAAAATTTTATCGTTGAATATTCTTGATTTATTTAATGTTAATAGTCATGTATTGTGTAATATTCTTCATTTATTCAGTGTTAACAGTCATGTTTTAATTTTTGAATTAAAAAATGTGTATTCCATAATATTCATTTGAATAAAACAGGTTAAATACGTTATGCACCCGTGATTTATAGATATGTAATCCTTAACCCTCCTTTTTTTTTTGGTCAAACTCCTTTTATTACATTAAATACTAATGAAAGTATAAGGGGGTCTGGTTAAAAACATTGTGGGCCTAACACAAAGAAAATGGTACCCCTAAGAGATAAGGAATAAAAACGGACAAAAAAATCCCTAATACAATCTATAACACAAAAGCCCCAAAAGTGGGTAAGAAAAGAAATAACTAAAAGAATATACCTATGCTGATTATTGTAACTCAAATATAAAAAAGGTCCCATATGGGGTTGGAAATGCCAATATCTGAAATATCTCACCACCACCTTAAATTATTCAAGTTTTGCGCTCTTCTCCTACGTTGAGATTGATCCATATTCATCTAGAGTTTCTGCGACTGCGTTCCAATCCTTATGGTTGAATGTCCTATATCCCAAAAACATCACATTGATATGCAATCCATACTGACCTAGGAAGGTCGTTTGCCGAAAATAATTATTGAAGGTGTTAGTGATTATGCGCCCATCCCGCAAGGGGATCGGCAACCGATTTTTTTTGTCTCTACACGTGAGCACTTGAAAGCTGCTGCATAAGATAATTAACCCATTGATTATTTTGCATCAGTTATTTTACATCTTAAGTTTTAAAAAATAATAATAATAATCTTAATATATTTCCACTTTGGTTGGATGAAATAATTGTAAAATAATTCACATAATTTATCAAAAATATCAATTGAAAAGTCAATGCAGTATTTGAAACTGTAAAAGTGTATATTTCTTTGGTATATAATAAATAGCATAACGATACAATAATTATTGGATCATATATAATTTGGAAGTAACTAATATTAAATTATTGGAAAAACATTGATAATAATATGTATTATATAATAATGAATGAAAATATATTTTCAAAAATTAATGAATTTAAATACATTAAAATACTTAAGTTTGTTCAATAACTTAATTCTTAGTGTTTTTAAAAGTGTATTTGTTACAAAATCAATTAGATGTTATGTTATTGAATTTGTACCCAACGCAAGATAACATTTTTAAATATTAAGATATGATATTTTGTTAATATATATTTTAATAATATAATTTAATTATTCTTTTTAGTTATTCTATCCAATAAAAGATAAATTGTGAAGCTATTAAAATTTTGATATACAAATTAAATGTTGTTATTTTTATCAGGAAATTAAATGATGGTTGAGGGGTAAGTGTTACAAATAATACTTTAAGGTGGCAAGTGTTACATATGGTATAATTTAGAGTTAAAAAATGGTACAATTTAATATGGTATAATGGCTGTGAAAAATAGGGGGATTTTCTTAGTTTTTAATACTACATGGGAGTGAATGCGATATTTTTGATATTACATGGGTACAAACTCTATTTTACCCATTTTCTTAAAATTAAGGATGATTTTTTACTTTCTTCTATGCTACACTTGATTAATCTTAATTTCCCATAACGAATGACAAACAACAACATTATACAGTTTATGCCAAATTTGTAATTATGAGGACTATGGACTATTTTTTTAAGTTATGGAGGGATATCCAATGTATTGGTTATACATTACTTACATTTTCACAATACATGTGGGACAATGAATTTTCAATGAAATCTAACGCCCATTTAGAAACGCAGACCGTTCACAACATTATGAATAAAACTATTTTTCTTTGTTTTAACTAATATTGCTCAAAAACTTTACAGATAATCCTTTTTTATATCTTGTTTGTGTAACAAATTTGCATCTCGCTCACACCATTCTTAAGAATGCCAAATAACATGGCGTCAACATATTATATATTTATTACGACACGTGCAACGCACGTGCACTTTTCTAGTATATATATATATATATATTTAATTAATTTATTTTACCATCATATAATAAACGCACGCACGCACGCGCACACCATGTGTTCGAAGAATTACTCTGGTATGGTAGATAATAACCCTATTAAAAAAAATAATAAAATTTGATATATTTTTTTATAATTTTAAATTTAACGTTAAGGTCAAGTACTTTTAAGTTTTAATTTACTTTTTGTTTTCTTTATTGTAATTTACTATTACAAAATCAACAAAAAAAAAAAAAATATTAAAATCCGGTTTGGACCCAGACCCGCCTTAGCACGGGTCGGTTTCGGTCCCCAAAATGTTGGATCCGGACCCGACCCATGGTCGTGTCTACATATACGTATACATACATTGACATAGCGTGATTGTGTATAGATTTAGCATGATAAATCGCCCAGTATACTTCACCCAATGAAAGATCCACGAAAGAACCAAAGAGGAATAAATATACTTAAGAAATTGAATCATTTTTATACATATGTTCCCCCTCTTTCCATGTAACCCTAAAAAGGAAAAAAAAAAAAGAAAAAGAAAAAAACCATATATAAAAGAAACAAAAATGAGCCATACCCATACAGTTAGTTACACAAGTTCCTTTACTAAGTAATTCGCAAAATCCCGCCTAAGTTAGTTGAAGAAACATGGAGTATAACTAATGATAGGTCGATCATTAAATCAGTTATCTTTGCAGTTTCTCGAATAATTGGTAGACAATCTGGACTGTGACTGGAAAAAGTCAAACGGGGCCCCTGCTCCAAGAGACCGTCTCGTTGAATTGGGAGATTCGGTCAACAGAGGTTCATAAACGGAGGAGTTACGGTTTTTAGGTAGTGATATGGACAAAGGGGAGAGATCCTTCTCCAAGGTTCTTGTCTGAGATTCTATGTTTCCTAATGACAAGATTGGCCCTCCCAAACGCTCGGCCTGCTGAAGTATGTTTATTTTGCTGGACCTGTATGTGTATCTGAAGTACTTCAGTGCAAGGACGGGGCCCATTCCAGCTGCAACGATAAGCTGAAATTGATGTACATATAGTGTTTGGTCAGTGCATGCATGATTTAAAAAACGAGGAGTATTTATCGAATTCGCAAAACACATGATAAAAAATTAAGGATATTTTATGACATCATTGATCATACAAAATTAATAAATAGTTGTAGTCTTTATTATGTTATGGTATGAACCTTAATTTGTGTAGTTTTGCAACTAGAATTTGAATCTTTAACCAAACTTCGTCAATGACAATATTTACGATGACAAATGTTAATTTCATCATAAAAAAATCTGAATAATAATTTGGGATTTTGATTTCTTATGAAACTTGTAGATAAAGATGTCTGCTCAAAGTTCCTATACAGAAGATAAATCTATATCAAGGGAGAAAAGAATGTAAAAGAAGACTCACAATCATTGTAATCCAGTACAAGGGTTGCTTGCACAGGCGAAACATTATTGTGTACATCCCCGACGAAGGGATAGCACTAACGATCCAGTTGATGGCATAAAAGCCGACTAAATTACCCCAAATTGCGAGGTGTTGCAATACTGTGAAAGAACTGGAAAGGCCAAACAAGAAGGTGTGAGCTCAACTCAACTATATTCAAGATGTCGGATAATATATTAAGGATCAACTCAACTCAACTTTTTTAACACATTTCAAGCAAGGAGCTAGCATAAAGGTGCAAGAGAAAGATAGCTACTCACTTGGTCTCCAATGCAACAACAAATGCCTGCAACCAAATGCATCCAGAAAGTGCAACCATTGAAACCTCCTCCATCTCACTTTTCTCAAGAGCATAAGAATGTATAGTGATGGCGAAAACAACAATTGCCTGTACAGCATAACAGATTAACGAATCAACTATACCATCAACTTTCTTCACCAGAGAAAGACAAAAACTTCACCATTGAGGTCACACACAAAAATTTCCCACCTAAGCCCAACCTAAATTATGACTCTGTTGACCCCTTTTCTTTGACCTTAAGATAAATTGGGTAGTAAAGAAGATAGAGAAATCAGAATCACTCACATGAAAGAGAGACCGGCCAAACCATCCAGCAAATGTGCTAGGGTTAAGAAGTCTGTTTCAAGTTTTATTGAGTCCGTCAAAATACTAAATATAAGTCTCTAATGAAAAATAAATTTCAGAAACCGTTGTTTACTGCAAGTGCAATCATTTGGAAGCAAAGTTATAAAGTAATTACTTAAAGAAAGAGCATAGATTCAATACCTTCCTGCTTGGCAGTAAAAGAGTATCTGAGGATGCTGCATTACGGTTCTTTCACTTAGATCTTTGTCCAGAACACTGACTAAAACTGGAACACTGGTGTAAAACACATTATAAGCCATTAAGCTGACAGAGTTAAAAAGACTGGTCCCTGAGACACCTGAAATGAAAGAGAAACTGGAACCATGGCCCGGTCAGCATACGGGGAAAACCTGTACTCATTTTTGCTGCTCAAAACAACTGCAGCAAGATATATCAACTGAACTAGAATGAATGCCAGCAAATAGAGGAACTTACAAGATCTGGATAAAACATATTAGTAAGGACTTATAGAAGGAATATTGGGAAAGAAATGCTGTGCGGTTATATGAATAGCGTCCATGCACAAGTATCAGTCTTTTCAAAAATCTGAACTCTGCAAGACAAGAATATTAGTATATGTTAATGCTGCTGTCAAGTATAGGTTAAAAACATAAGTACACATTAATCAAGATTCAAAAGGAGCAGAAACAAAAACATCATACAGCCTCAATGATCTACCATAATAGAATGCGGAATATCTTTTCAAACATCTTCATATGTTCTTTCATCATTTAAAGGTTCTGGCGAACTAAGAGAAGGAAAAGGGAAAAAATTAAAAACTTTTGGCACCAAAATACCAAACAATATATAAACATGGGTGTCTAAGGTCTCCTGAAGATATCAGTTTATTCAGCTCTTCCACGGTAAATCAAATATACGAGAATACAACGGTCCAGTTAGCTAAGACATTCTTGTTTCACAAAAATATCCACTCAGGATATGAAGGTTTGTTTCCAAATTTATAGCGAGTGAAAAATCTCAAAAGGTTACTATGATGTCATTCTTCATTGAAATAATCATATGGGCACTATTGAACAAAGAATTTCCCAACAATTTAGAGGTCATGTTAATTTGGACAGTAGGCAAGATCTTACTCCCAATGCTATAATCAGCCGCTCTTGCTGCCTGCAATCCTTCCCTCCCGCTTATGCCAACCCCAATATCAGCTTGTTGAATCATTCTCACGTCATTTCCACCATCTCCAATGGCCAACGTTCTATAGTCACATGTCTTCAAAAGTTCTACAAGCTAAAAAGGTAAAAAAGGAAAAGCATCATTGCCATTTTAGTAGGAAAAAGGAGAACTAAGAAGAGTAACCATCTTTAGATGCCTATTGCAGTGACTTGTTGCATCTTGCCTAGTAATTTTGTTTGCTTGAGAAAAGATAAATTAAATATAATACAATATTTTATATAGAAAAGTTGGTCTACAATGTAAAGCTATACAGTATATTGAACCAGGGCATGTTTTATTCTGTTTTTCCTCCAATTTCAGATCCTTAATCTAAAGTTCTAAACACCTCTTTTCTACCCTACATATTTTTCTCTTCTTTTTCTTTTGGGGTTCAATATAAATGAATGTGAAGCACTAGTATTTATAATATATAATTCACCAGAGAATATATACAGGACAATAAGAATGAAATTTATATTAAGGCACCTGTGCCTTCTGGGATGGAGTGACGCGACAACATATAGCTGTCCTTGACAAAATCGCAAGTTCTGTGAATGCTTTACGGTAATGCTTAAGGGCAATTTCAAGGGCCCAGCCATCAACAACAAAAGCTACATCCTGAGACAGTAAAATATTTGTTACAAGAAATTCGGACCGGACAAAGAGCAAAAATTGTAATCGGGAATTCTCTTAGTTCCCCACGTTTTTAAGATAACTCTACCTTGCATAATTATAGAGTAGAAAATATAGGAGGCAGAATTACAAGGAATTATCGGCTACATTCGCATATTTCTTTCACTTCAACTGCTCGCATTTAAATGCGGTAATGACTTCAGGCGTATTACTACAGATTTAATTGTACCAAAGAGAATAGTGACTTGATACCAATTAATTTCTAATATATTCATCCACAACCAAGAGATCATAAGTTCCAATGCTGCAATGTTGCCCTCAGTCATTCCTGGGGGCTCACAATAAATCAATAATTTACTAATCCAAGGTGAGATAGACAATAATACGGTGACTAGAAAAGGGACGGAGTTGGAAATAATAAGATAACCCAGAAATAATAAGATAACCCAGAAATATAAGGTTTTTACCCTATCTTTATTGATATAAGAAAGCTCACAGTTCTGCTGACTCAAAACTCAACTATACATTCTCATTAAGCTCCACGATGCACACCCACCGTAAGTCATTAATGATCAGTGGATCTGATTCAGATTCAAGAAAAGAGATGGAAATTTCCAAAAGCAAATCGAAAAGCGACCACACAACAGAGAAAAAATATGATCACATTAAGTTTTTACTAACATATTTTCATGTCAATTTACATGGAAATGATGGAAAATAAAGTTCTTATAATTCCAGTTCTGTCATATCTATGTGTAATCTATTCAACAAATAGAAGTGAGAAATTTAGACTCACAACACACAGTCCATCAAACAATGGTGAAAGAGATTAAATGAAAGATCATACCTTAGGTTCAGTATTTGTGATTCTCATAGTAAGTAAAACCCTCTCCAGGCTCCTACATACTTCATCCTCAGTTTTACCATCAACCATCAAAAGCTGTCCTTTAGGCTCTGTTAACAATGCACAAAACCAGTTTGTAACTTTGAAATATGACAAACTAGCAGCATATAACTTTGTATCACTTTCCAGATCACTTATTTCTAAAATGCCTACATTTACTACTGGAAATGCAAAAGTCACCTGGGGACACGAAATTGCAAGAAAGAGCAATTTGAATAGCAGTGTTCTGCTTGTCTCCAGTCAGCATCCAAAAATTTATTCCAGCTTTTCTAAGAGTTGCGATTGTTTCTGGTACACCATCCTGGATTGTTATAAAAGTTGAAAGAGTACAAGTGAAACAACTTATTCAGCAACAGATTACAAAGGGTGTAATGAATGGAAAACAGAACTTATGTATTAAAATAAAACTGGTAAAGATAGGTTTTCCTGAGCCAATAGTATCACCTGTAGACGATCCTCAATGGCAGCAACACCAAGAATTTCAAGATCATGCTCTAATCTTTGGCAAGCTTCAGCTACTCTCCACTGCAGAATAGAGTAAGTATGATAAGTAAATTTTCTAGGAAAAACAAACAAGAAACTAACAAGCACAGAAAGATGGTGAACCAGGTAAAGAGGGAGTCTGGGAAAAAGATGGGTAAAACTCAAAGTGGTAAGATTTCTCATAGTACCTCTCTATCAATTAGTGTACTATTAGCATCTTTGAACATCAAGGCCCATTCCTGGTATTCATCATCATCTAATTCACGCCAAGCAAGGCATAATGTTCGCAGACCCAGTTGAGCGTATTGTTCCACAGTTTCAGCATAAGTCCTAATCTCTTGTCCTGATACAAACTTAATTTTTAGATATGATAAGAATATCCATCCTATTGAACAATAAGATGTTACATCAAATTCAAAATATAAATTATATCTAAGATCAAAGCCAGAAACTGAGATGTTATACCCAGAAATATGCGAGAAATGAACCAAGTGCCCCAGCAAAATTATTGACTTATCTCACCTCTTATATAGAGATGGGGAAAAGAGTGACCACAAGGTAAGTATTCTTCCGAGGATAGATACAAATTACTAAACAAACATACATTACTAAAAAGTTGGTAATAACATTCGAAGATCAGCCATGAAAGACGAATAAGATTACCAGCATGACTATGAGGAAGAATAGCCTCATCTGCTCCTTTGGACAAGAGGAAGATTTTCCCACTTTGGCAGTCTTTGACCACTACAGACATTCTTTTCCTCTCAGAAGTGAACTCCAGAATGTCCAGTACTTCATATTGGAGTAATGAAGCATTCAAATTGATCTCTGCATAGCCAGGAAAGTTAAATGAACATCGCATCTACAGAAATTACAACAAACAGTAATGAAGATTATTAAAAAAAATCAATTAATTTTTCTTTAAATCTCAGTAGCTAATCAATTGAATTTGCTTTCAAGATGTAAAATGAATTTAGTGTGTCAGAACACATATTATATGCTACTAAAGATCTAGGTCGGGAAGGCCCTCTAGCCCACCATCCAACTAGAGATTTACAAAACTTACCAAGAATGTTCCCATTTTTATTTGCTAAAACCATATGCAAACGGGCAGCAGCACGTACTAGAGCTTCTTCATCTTGAGATTGTGCCTTGTATGAAATTGCCCCACTTTTGCTGTAAAAGTAATAGACAAAAACAATGAAGGTTAGAGATCACTAGCAGGAACAAAATCATATCAAACATGACTCATAGTTCTGGCTCCTTCGCGTCCCGTTTGTGCAAGCATTTCCATATCAAGACATTAATGTACCTTCGGACAGGAATTACTGTATTGCATATCGCCATAACTTTTAGAAATCGAATCACATCAGCAGAGCCACTGGATACAGCATTAAGCAGTTCTGTATCTGTTAAGCACGGATATTATCTTAGTTTATACTTGTACTTGCATATCAAAAGACGATAAACAAAACCAGATAAAATAATAAAAAGACTTGCTACCATATAAGCTACCATATAAACATATTGCTGGAACAAATTCAGATAATAGAAATGAAAGCACAGCATTTACTGAAATCAACAAAAATAAGACAAATTTAACTTGTATTTCGGGATACAAACATTGGACCATCCAAATATAATCAGCTAATCAATGCAACGAATGGCCAAGCATTACACAATGACATTCTTGACTAGTCAGTGCAGATGTCTCTAGCTTATAAGGAGTACAAGTCTCCACTCATTAAGTAGATATTTAACTTCTGATTTTTCAAGGAATGGAGCTTTATGGGACAGAAACCCAAAATACGGAAAATTTCTGATAAACAACTAGACACAATCATACCTGTCAGAGCATCCCCATTCTCATTCCCGTAAAATCGTCCACTTATGCAACATCTTTTGAAGATCATTTTATTTTCAGTAAGGGTTCCTGTCTTATCTGTCAATATATACTCAACTTGGCCCAAGTCCTCACTAATTGCGGTGCTACAAGTTAGAAAAAAAGGGTAAATTAAACCTGCCATGGAGCATATATATTTTTGCCAACTATCTATACCATGAGTGCAACTAGTAGTGTCTCTTACTTGGCTGCGTTGGACCGAGTCTTTGTTTCTAGATCAACCATATGATCATCCCAATCAATAAATTTTGCATATAAGCCTTTAACAAGATCTAAGGAGACCTGCAACAACGAAGAGCACACCCTTTTCAAAGATAATGTGACAGTTCTTATTGAGGTCAAAGTAAATTGCAATTACAAGAAGCAAACTACTGAAATTATTGGATGATTTTAAAAAAAAATCTGTATCCAATTTCTTTAAGAGTATTTTGACAGGCTTTAGAACAACATCCATCACAAGAAGTTTAACTCCAAAAAATTCTATAACAATGACGAAAAATATGGTAATTAGATAACTTGAAAACTAAAAAAATTACCTTTATTGATATAGGAATCATGATGGAGCAAAGCAATTCAAATCGTAGAGGGATGATCAGGAGCTCATACCATGGACCTTGTTTTGGATATCGAACATACCATAGCTACATGAATAAATCAAGATTGAGAGCATTAGTTAATAAAACAATTAAGGGTTAAAATCATAAAGATGTGCCAGGAATTTTATGTCAAAGAGTTAATATTGCACTATATTCTCGGCTGAATTATGTGCTGCTTATAAAATTCTTCTTTTGACAACAATGAATAGTGGTGAATGTTATAAGTAACAAAATACTTGAAATTAAATTCATATACGATAATCACATAGATTAACTAACAATGTCATTATCTGTTATCTTCAACCTAAATTTGCACAACGTAGTTAAGTTCATAAAAGTTGTTTACCTAAAACTGATCCGAAAGAATTTAAATTGAGGTGAGAAAACAAAAGTTTTGGCAACAAGCTTTTCCCCCTTTCAGGTTGTATATTTTTTGCGTAGAGTTTCTTGAATTAGTAACCTATAGATGGAGTCAAAGGAAGACTAATAAATGGTCTCAATGATATATACCTTCCTTGCTTCTGTATCCTTCCATACATTCCCGGCTATGCCCAGAACAATAACGACAACTATCTGAAAAACGAAAATTGCCCCAGTCAATTTGTCAATCATGGCATCCACAGCTGTAAGCTTTGGTTCAGGTACACCCCTACACATGCCTAGCTTGGTTTCATTGCCTGTAATAGAAAAGAGAAGAGGATAAGTTAGACCAAAAAGTACTTTAAGCCAAGGTAAAATAGTAGGAAAATTACTGGATTAAGCAACACGAATTGCAGGGTCAACAAGAAGCTCGAAAGAGTAAGAAAGAACAAGCATGTGGCTACAAAAAACGGATGAAACAAAGAGAAAAGTGAGTTCCCACTACATCTATAATGAATTGTTAAATCATGCTGATTTTCTGATACATCGGTTAAAAACTGAAACAAAAACAGTGAAACGAGGCGAGGTTCAATTCCACCACTCAGAAATTAACATGTAACTTTAAACAAAATTTAATTCAAGAAGGAGAGCAAATCAACTACATTGTAATGTATCATCTAGAAATATCAAATTTCTCAAGAATGAAATGTACTCAATTTTATGAGTTATATAGATAAACAGAGTTGAAAGACCAAATAGATAAAAGGTCACACACTTGCCTGTGTACACAGCAACTCCGCATGCCCACTCAGTGTTCCTTAAGTAGCATGATTGAAGAAGTGTGTTTTTAATTGTCAACGGGAACATATCATTATCAAGAAATGGAGGAAACAGTCGCATGTTTGCATCCAGCCTCCTAATATCTTTATCTGGGCCGGGGCACTCAATTACGCCCTGACACAAGCGGAACAAGAAAATGACATGTGCTCCATACTATAGTCTATTTTAGTTAATATATATATATATATATATGTCTTGCCTTGATTTTGTGCAACAACTCAATATCTATCCCCATGCATGCGGAAGGTATCACCCGTGTCTTCAGATCAGTTTCCCCATCTAGTGCTGCTGTCTACAAACACATAATACATAACAACTATCATCTAAATGTTAGATGATGCTGCATATTCTGAAAGGAACTTTTTAAGTCATACAGGAACATGATAGAGAATTGTGGCTATACATGCAAATGACATTGTCAATTCAAGAGGACATCAAAGCACACCTTAGGTAAGTTCTAGACATAGCCCAGTTGATCGGATCCAAAAGTCCCTAGAGTTTAAGGTTTGGGGACTAGATAAAATAGGAAACCGGAATTCAGAAGAGACAGGAAAAGAATAAAATTGAAACTTTTTCAGCCTTAGGCATCTTTATGGATGCACCTGAATTATAGGCTATGATAAGGATAATACATCTACGGGAGTTTAAGATAGATGTTAGCGAGAAACAGAGGTTACTTTTTTATTTTAAGACAGATGTTAACAGTTTATCTTATTGACAAAGTAACCTATTATAGCCCGTCAAGCCACAACACATTTCTACAGCACAGCTTAACTTCAAGGCATTGTCAACTGTTCGGTGAAATGTTTGTGTTGGAATACCAGATAAGAAACAAATTATGAATTTATAAAGAGGGGGGAATTTTTTTACCTCCACATAGCAAATCCCCTGAGGATCTGCCGTACCAAGCAAGACAAGATCACAGGGAACTTCATCATTCTCGCGCAGCCACACTATGTTCCCAACACGAACATCTTGGGCTTGGATCTAAAATAATAGACACGGCACAAGGCAAATGATAAACTATGACAAAATTGGACGCATGAAATGATAAGTGGAATGGGAAAAAGATAACGATAAAAGTTGAAAAGGCCAAAAGGAAATTTATATAAACATTAAATTGCAACCATCATGTGCCAAATCACTGACGGAGGAAGTGCAGTACCCCACACAGCCCACGGCGCCCCAACATCTAGTCAACCTTAAATGGTCAGCATAATGCCTCAATATTTAAGAGGGGTGTGGAATTGAACATCCCTAAGTTTGTACTACATATGTCTATGTTTAAGAGGATATACACTTATGGATAGGGGACTTCAGCCCGTAGTTTCAACAGAACGTGGGAACACATATGCAGACAATAGTAAATAAAGGAGTCTCAACTGAAAAGCAGACAAAGTAATCTCTCTTTTTTTCCAATTCCCTTTTTGATAACTATGGACATGGAATTCACGAGCATCAGCCACATTTTTTGCAAGCTAAATGGGCCCTATCTAATCCGATTGATAATAGAACAGAAAACTAGAGAACTGTCAAATGAAGAAAAGTATAAATGAATAAAAAAGACGAGGCATTCTACATACAAGCTTTCTGATTCCCTGCCTGACAATCCAAACTTCTTTTTCATTTGCTTTCTTATCTGAGAGATATCTGTTGTAGTCATCCCATGCCTCTTTTATAGCGGAGACCGCGAATATGAATATAAGAGGACCCCATGTACTTGCAGGATTCACAGGAGTAATCAGAGACCACAGTTGAAGGCAAGCGATCAACAAAAAGTACTGGTTCATAAATCGGCTGGAAAGAAAATATGCGAGCTGTTAGATACGACAAATGGAAAATGGGAGGAGAGAGAAGACAAAAGATGTTATTGCAACATTAAAGAAAAAGGAAAGAAGAGACAAATGGCCGGAAATAGAACATGATAAGTGTGTTAAAAATTAGGTATCCCCTAGTCCAGTCAAATTCTTTACTAAACGTTCATTAGAAATGTATACCGCTGCTTTTAGACCGAAGTGAAGGAAATGCAAGGTGATATAAAATAAAACTAAACTTGATTTTATGCATGATGTACAGAGCTTATGTACGACATATTATCTTCACCTGAACTGTTCCCATAGATTTTTTGGGAGAAAATTCCATATGGTATACTTTCTGTTTGATATACGATTGTCACAGTACAGATCTTGTGCTAGATTGTCATCGTTTATGTAAACATAACGCTTCATGATCAACTTGGTAGCATGAACTTAAGTTTAAAAGGATCAAAGCAATGCCGACATCGGTATCAGCGACATTCCGGAGGTAGCAGTGTCCAAGTTTAGAAACTTATCTCCACCCTGCGACATTTTCAAAATCTTAGTAGCAGAATAGAAAGTTGTGATGAACATTTATATATATCAAAAAGAAGAGCACATTTCATAATATTGATTCAAACACTCTGTCCAATAAATATACAAAACAATTCATTGTTTCATATCACTAAACTAGTTAAATCGGCAGCTCACCGGCACCGTCAAGAAACACCTACGTGGCTGGAGGGGGTTTTTTTTTTTTTTTTTTATCACGTATCCATGATTCCTAAGTTACAGCAATCCTTAAAACTTGACTCAAATTTCACATACAAACGCGACACTTTCTCCAGCTGTTTCGTATTAAAATATCGAGATTTCTACGGCTATAAAATCAATGAATACGTCGCAGTCCGTGATAAATTCAGCTATTTCAAAACAAAACTAACCAAAAAAATAACCATCAAAATAGGTAATTCATTCAATGCAGCTGATTCAACAAATAAAATTCGATTAAAAACATTTATAAAAAAAAAGGCGTAAGGGGAAGAATATTACCTATCGATCAATGTGATTTTAGCTACTGAGTGGTTGGCAAATCCAAACGACGCGGTTTGAAGATCAAAAATTCCGCGAATATTCGACCCGATACACGAACTCCGGGCGACTATTTTTCCGGGCTCTTTTGTGCTGCAAAAAAACGCGTAGGTTGGCTGCACTTTGTGATCGCATCAGTCAACTCCAGCGTTTCTCTGTTCAAAGAATCGTTGTTTATTCTGCAACGCTTTCATATAAAGCGGGCTTTCCGTTTTCACTAATGGGCCTGAAAGAGTCGAATGGGCATTCCGTTTTCAAACCAAGACGCAATGATTTAAAGCCCGTTTGGGTTAAACTTAGCCCGTTAATAAGAGGTCGTCTAATTGTCAAGCCACAGTACCATTGACCCACACGAAATTTTAGTCCATGAATAAAGGTAATCTATCTATATATATATAAAAAGACAATCCTTGGCATAATATGTTGACACGTGGCGCTTAGGGTTACAAAACCCTAGGGCAGTTCTTATAATTTTTTGATAGTTCTAGGACTATTTTGCAACAAATAAAACAAGTTCTCCTCCCTCAACTGCATGTATAACCTCTCACGAGATTTATTTTTCCGAAAACTTCTTTTCATCGGTTTCTCGGAACTTCTTTCTTATAACTTCTCAATTCAAATTGCATATCACATCTTTATACCAACTGGAATTAATTTAAAATTCCTTTCGCTTGAATGAATAGCATAAATAAATCTTTCAAAAATTGTTGAAGCGCCACCATAAATCTTTTAACTATTGAATTCGTCCGGGCACAAGAATGTTCGAAACTGTCGTTTTCGTGCATCCAAATCCTCAAGAGGTTAGTGATAGTCGGATTTTATGCTCAAATTTATTGGGTTTTTTGATAAGGTTCTTAGTGTTTTTATTTGTTTGGTAATGAAGTAGGATTTCGTCTCCAGGCACGCAATTTTATTTGTTTGCTTATAATTTGAGGATTTCTTAATTCGCTGTTTATTTATTTCATTTTTTAATTGGGGTTAGCGATTTCTCCAGATTTCGTTGAAATGTTATTCAGAAATTAATGTTCACGTATTATTACCAACAACCCTAGGTAAGATCCAAAATTTATAGCAAACATCTTTTTTTTTTTTTTTTTCCTTTCGTTGTAAATTTGTTCTTTCAGCATGGATTGCTAGGAACAATGATTGTACGACATGGTATATATAATTTCTCAACCGCATAGGCATTTCTCATGAGTCTGTCTTTTTAATAATTTTAAATTTAACAAAAGTGTTGGCATCTCTATATATGTGGATCAGCACTTCCACTGAATTTATATTGCTGATATAGCTAATTCATTTGACAGGTGGCAGGTGCAAATATGCAGTTCACTAACAAATTCAGTTTAGGATGACAAGTAATCTAATACATCTCCTCTATTTTTTAATCTTTGCTCGCGTGATGAAGAACATGGTTATGTAATACAAAATAGTCTATTGTGGTTCTATACCTCTAAATGGATAAATTGTTGGTGTATGCAGGGAACACTCCAACTGTTTTACATCCCCAACATGTGAATGCAAGCCCGATTTCCCCGTTGTATCTCCATATCCTTCTCTGAAATAACCTATGGTATTGTCTGCTATTCACTTCAAATTCAGTTTATTTGCCATGCATATTGTATTCCAATTTATGCCAAAACAATTTCAGATATTGATTATTCATAGTGCTCTAATTTGTTAGTATTAATCTTCAGATATTTTTTTTTACAATTTAAATTGCTACCATTTATACGTTTTTGTAGATGGAATTTTATTTCTTAATCAAAGTATGTTGAACCATACTCCGGTCTCCATCTCAGCAAATAAGGTCTTCTCCAAAAAAGTGAATCAGGATTCGCTCAAGGGCTGCGACATTTCATAGATGCTATAAATGTGATCGAGCATCTTATCCAAAATATATATGTAATAAATTCTTTTTTCTATGATTTTTCCAGGAATCAACACGACTGCTTCCTACATCAGTTCACCGTTGATTACAAGCTTCGTCAACTTCCTATCGGCAGATGACGAAAACTCAAAATGGCACCCAATATGATTCTCACATTCATTATCTTTACCGCATAGTGTGTAGAGTCACTCTCTCACAGGTAATGGTATTTTGGTGCTCATCATATTGGAATCGGAGTTTGAAAACTTGTCCACAATTTGTATTTTTTTAAATTTACAAAGTTTATTTTCATATTTTCGATAAAGCGAATTACAACTTTGAATCCCACTGCACAGTTCAAAGTTCATATTAGTATTTTTGGTTATATGATTTACATTAGAACCAAATTTTGGTAATTAATTAAGATTTTCACAAAGATGGGTTTGGTTTTAATTATGTTTTTTCAAATGTTAGGTTGAGCAATTTGTTATTTTAGTATTCTTTAAGGTTGAGCAAGTAACTGTATTAGAATATTTTAGTTTCTATTTAGTGTGGTTCAAGTCGTACAATAAATTTTATTATGACTTAGAATCCTCATAAACTTAAAAAACCTAACTCACCCGTTGAACATTTTGCCAGGGCTTCCGCAGATGTGAATCTTGATTTTGTTGCAGATGCATTTGCCAAGAGGAAAAGTAGCAAGGGGCAACAAGTATTCAAATTTTGACTTCATCAAGCGACTCCAGAGGCGAAGCATCAGTGCTCGAATTTGAAACACTTACAAATGGAAGGACATGATAGTATAATTTTTCTTACGATTACTGAATTTTTTTTAGTACGATCACGACAATGGTAATTTATAATTGTTGTATCTTATGATTACGAGTACGGGTATACAACTATATACATTGATTTATGGATTCGTATTTAGGTAATTTTATGTTACTGCGAAATGTATTTAAATGAAATAAATTTTTCAGTATTTATATACGTATTTTTAATTAGTTTTGTTAAAGAACTAAATAATGGAGTTATCAATTGCTAGAGTTCTAGAATACATGTATGACACGTTTATTAATTTTTATTTTGTTCAATATACTTCATTTCTAAACGATTAATTCATAATATGGCGATCTAAGTTCATATAACCCTTTGTCAATTTAATTTTACTAATAAATTTATTATATATTGTTTTATTACTATTTTTATTCACGACGTATGTAAATATTTTTCCTTTTTACCTTTGTAAATGCTACCCCGTGCATCGCACGGGTGTAGTACTAGTATTTAAAATAAATAATTAAAAAAACTTTTTTTGACTTAAAAGACAAATCTAATGAATTAAAGGTCCTACTCGTAAAAAATAAACAAAACTAAGGATAATGTTAAAATTAGATCTAAGACCGGTTCATCATCATCACCCGATGAGTTTGTGGATAAGTTTTGAGGACGTGGAGAATTAAAAAAAAAATGGAAAATTAAATTCAAAAGACAAGAGAGAGAAAGAGATGTAGAGAGAGAGAGAGAGAGGGGGTCAAAAGTCCAAAGCAGTAGTAGTAGAAGGACAGTAACAATTCGATCCATATCCGAAAAGACTAAAAGGCCACGCATTCACGCATCGCTTTCAAAACCCAACACGCTACCACAAACGTGGAACGCGGTGAATGGCCATGATTTTAGGTCACGTGAGAGGGGCGTGCCACGTGGCTGTCCGTACAGATTCTCTCCGGATTTGCTAGACAGGATAAGAAACCGGACATTTTGGGCGGATATTTTTTTCATGCCATGTCACTCGTATCCATCGCCCTGTCGTTTTAACGACAACCGGTTGCCGTATTGTGTATCGTAGTAAAATATATACTTTAAACGTTTATTTGTTATTTTTAAAATACTAGTAGATATTACTACTATTTAGTACGGCATTTAAATAAAATATTATTCAATCAATGAATTTAATTTTACTATACCGTGTGGTGTTAAAAACAGTAAAATAAAAAATGTATCAAAAATAATTGCCATTATTCTCCTTAGTATTTTACATTATAGTATATATCAGCTGCGTGACTAGCCATAAATAAGCGGTCTGCCGTGAAACTGGCATCACAGAAGACTTCCACGTGTCACGAGATCCTCGGTTCTTTCGGTAAGAAAACGCCAAAGTTCTCTGTACCAGGAGGAAGATATTTTAGTACTAATAAATAATAATATATTATTATTTTCATATATTTATTCGAGTTGCGGTACGCATGGGAAAATTAACTTCACCGACTGTAAAAGTCAAAAGTCAAAGCGACTGTGGCTCTGACCCAACAAACGTAGTTGAATTGGGCCCCAGAAGTAATGGGCCGTGGGCCACTGTAATAAACTGACCTGGGCCTGTTGGCGTGACTGGTGGGTACAAAACTTTTATCCAATTGTATCTGCCCTTACATTACTGTGTGCACTGCCCATTCAATAAAGGCGCACAATCAATTTTAATTAACACATTTAATTTTTCAAAATTTTTTTTTATTATGAATCATAATATAAAATTATTGTAGGAAATAATAGAAAGAAAATAAAACAGCACCAAAACATTGGCTATGCAGTATGCACCCAACATACTTATCAAAAAAAAAAAAAAAAAAGCAGTATGCACCCAACATCTCACAAAACCAGCACCTCAACTACTAAAATATTTAATAAAGTTAAATTAAAAAAATAATAATAATAATAACAATTTTATTTTATTCTGTGGGAGCACAAGAATCCAACTCTCTAACAGTAAAAAACAAGCATTCAATAGAGTCTGTGAGTATTTGAAGTGAATGCCAAGGTAAGGTTAGTAGGTATTTATTTAATTGGGGTTAATTATTTAGTATTATTTAACCACCACTTGGTTAGCATAGGGCCCTAGTGAATATAGTGGGAGGAAAGGCTAAAACAAAAGTTACCGCAGAAAAGTTAACCTAACCATGGTCAAGTTGAAACAGCTAACTACGGTTAGAACCAACAATTTATAAAGGAACCCTAGCATGCAAATCCATGGCGATCATGACAGTCTCTCAGTGGAGTGAGTCAAAATATATAGGAGAGAAAAAAACAGCAGAAAAATGATGATGATGATCGGAGATCCTCATAGGTCAAATCCAACCGTACAAATCCCGTATTGGGATTACCAGAGAACCGAAGATCCGACGGCCCACATTCACTCACCCATTACCCACAACGTTTCCACAAATAGCCCAGATGGTTACCACCACTACGAGAAGGCTTTGGCGGCGCTTCAGCGCTACCTGCCCTCGAACCAAGACGACGACGTCGTCGTACAGGCGGATGACGAGGATTCCGACAATTTCGATTTTCCGGTGGACGCGTTCTCGTGCGATAATTTCCGGATGTTCGAGTTCAAGGTGAAGAAGTGCGCACGTGCCAGGTCACATGACTGGACGGAGTGCCCGTTCGCCCATCCCGGGGAGAAAGCCCGCCGGAGGGACCCACGCAAGTACCACTACTCCGGCAGCGCGTGCCCTGACTTCCGCAAGGGCGCGTGCGTGAGGGGCGACACCTGCGAGTACGCCCACGGCGTATTCGAGTGCTGGCTCCACCCCGCTCGCTATCGTACGCAGCCCTGCAAGGATGGCACCCACTGCCGCCGCCACGTATGCTTCTTCGCTCACACCCCCGACCAGCTCCGGGTCCTGCCGTACAACAGCAGCCCAGACGCTTCCCCTGCTCGAACCGGTCACGATCCGTTCATTCTGGTCGGATCCTCTCCTAAATCTACGCTGTATTCTCCGCCATCCTCTCCGACCACCGCTTCACCTCCGGTCTCACCCGGTGGTTCTCTACGTCTGAGTCAACTCACTGAGTCGATGCGCGGTCTGCAGCTGAAAAAGATGAAAATGGGATTGGGCATGGGCATGGGGTTGAGCCTGAGCCCACCGTCGTGGGGCCTTGGATACGGGTCACCGCGAAGCCCGTCGGCAGTCCGACCCGGATTCATGAGCCTTCCTTCCACTCCCATTCGGGCCGTACCACGGCCCGGTTACAGTGCATTCGACACTAATTGGGGTACTTCTTACGAGGAGGAGCCGGTGATGGAGAGAGTGGAGTCCGGAAGAGCGCTTCGTGAAATAATCTATGCTAAACTCGGTAGAGAGAACTCGTTGGGTCGGGTCGACCGAGTGGACCCAGCAGATACGGTTCCAGATGTTGGATGGGTTTCCGATATGCTGAACTGAGTTTCCGGGTCGGGTCATGAGGTTCGGGTTCGGGGCAGCCCTGTTACTATATCCAAGTTCTGACTGTTAAAAATTGTTAATATGTTTGCTGACTCATTGAAGATGGTAGTGTAAATACGGGTTGCATGTCCGGGTCGGGTTAGATCCGTAGTGTTTGATGATTAAATATTTGATTTTGTTGTGGTTAATTATTAATTATTTTGGTTAATGTCGGGAGGGGTGAAAATGGAAAGTACTATTAAGAAAAAGGAAATTGAAAATTTTGTAATTTTTGTATATAGCATGTTCAGCTACTGTTTTGATTATTAATTATTATATATATATATATATATATAAATATATATATATCTGTTTTAATGAATTTAATGTGAGAAATATATTTAAATCACAGTTTATGAATTTCCATTTTATTTTGACAATGTTGGTTTTTGTTGGACCAAATTATATAATGTTCAATTTGATTAATTGAGGCTTCTGTAGTACAATAAAGAAATAAAATGTTGTTGAGATGATATATATTTTAGTATTTTATCATCTGCAGAAAAATATAAATAATAATAATATTTAAAAAGAAAAACGTTGAGTACCTCGATACACAATTAAATAATGTTATCCAAGTTTTGACTAAGTAAAGAAAATTTAATATAAGAAAGATTAGATAGATAACGACGTGGACTTGATAAACACATCTTCCCCACTGATCTTATCCTTAGTTACTTACTTTGATTAAATAAATGAAATGAAATAAAATAAAATTAAATATATATTATCACTTATTTAAAAAAAAATAAAAAAAAAAAGGGTCTTCCTTCTACTTTTAGTTGTAAGAGAATCTAGAGACCATTTCTAGGTTTAGCAATGCAGTCAATAGTTGAAGGTATTTAATTGCCTAATGGGCTATTGGTAAATTTTGCAAACTCAAGTTTTATGGGAAATACTACATAGTATATTGGTCAGTGCAAAAAAAAAGATATATTTTTTTTTTTTTAAATAAAATAAAAAACTAAAAAGCCGACAAAAATATGTGTTGATTGACAATCAATAAGGATCAAATGTACAGAGTACAAAACAAAACCTATAAAGTGTGAATAGAGCTTATTAGTGGGATGTTCTTTTCACGAAAATTGTTGTTAAATCTCCTTTTATTTTGATTACACCACCTTCCTAATTTTAGGTAATCTTGTAATGTGTTTTGGAGCTTATTTTTATTTTTATTTTTTGAAAAAAATGGAAAAAATGATTGAAAATTAAAGTTGTACCAATCATGTCTAAATGTTTTAAAAAATGTATTTTATAAGAAAAATAAAGTGATCTTTATTTTTATTTTTTAAATAAATTTATTGTTTACCGTAAATTATTCATTTCATATGTTTAGTTCAAACGGAACTTTGATTTACTCGGTGCACGTATATATCTCGGTTTCTGTAAATGACTAAGTTATTGCATACATCAATTATATAAAGCCTAGACCAATGAATTTCAATTTAGCTAAAAAGGCCCACCATATCTAATGTTTGGGCCCCCTGTAATTTTCCCTTAATTCACAGCCTCGTCTCTTTGCTTCTCAATTTTCGTTTGACAAAAAGTCCTAATCAAATATCACATCAGATGCCAAACTATTAAAATAAAAAATATATATATACTTTTAATTAAATTAAAATTATTAATTAGATAATATATAATTATGATTATATGTATTACCATGTGTATAAGATAGTATATAAATCTATGTAATTAACGTTTGATACTCTGTAATGTAACTGTGTTTTATATTTAATAAATCAGATATGAAGCAATTTTTCAATTAAATTTCAGCGTATATCAAATTATTGATTTCGATAGTGACAAATATGTATATATATAGAAAAGAAATTGAGTAATTAAAAAGAAAATTTGAACAAACTTATCCAATTCATGGCATTGGACCATAGATGTGACTATGACACAACTCTAAGTCTCTATCTCCCACCATTACTTTAGCACAAAAAGGAAAAAAATAGCTACTAAATACAAATTAAATTGTCCATAAAATCATAATTATATGTTTATAACGACCCACCTCCTTAATCATTTTTAGGAGCCATAGCTGGTGATTTGGTTTGTTTCTCTACGACGATGAAGCTTATCACCATCGTCTCACTGGTCGAACTTGACCCCTGTTATTTTGAGTTGTGTTTGTTAATATAACAAATCAATCGTAAACAAATATATTTGTTCAATCAAATATGAAGTTCAGCTCGAAATCAAGCTTGATTAAATCTATCATGTATATTTTTTTTAAATCTTTACTTTTTTATGATTTTGGCAAGTTTTACTGTTTTAGTATGACTGCAGTAATATGGAATAACCGGGTGGGCTATTTTGCTATGGGCCTACCTATATTCATCGTCACTAGACCTTAATTCATACTTTCTTTAGAGAATGTGGGCTTTAGCCCACAGAGGAAACATCAATAATATGTGTATTTTTAGTGATATAGACCAATGTTTTCAGAACCAGACGACTATTTGGGTCATCGTTTATAGGGTCGAACCGGTTCAACCGGGTTTTTGATTTTTTTTAATATGCCATTATTTTATTAATTTTAATGTTTTAAAAATATTATTTTCTTTATTTTTTTAATCTCCGAGTTATTATTTTCACTTTCATCCACATCACTTCACTTTTTATATATTTTATTGCTTATACTTTATATTTTTCCATTTTTTATTCTTCAAATCCGGTAATCGAACACCCCTATTAGATCACCCATGATCATATCCCAGAATTATTCGACCACTCATGACTAGATCCGGTCATCCATTACTAATTTGTGAAGGTTCTCTCAAATCTAGCCACAAATAACCAACTCAACGGTGATTAGAGAGGTTTTGGCCGAAAACCGGGTTCCTTGACTGACTCGTCGGTTTTCGGGTTTTGCCCCGTTGAACCAGATTTTGGTCATTTGACCCCGGTTTTCGATTTTTAGATGTTAACCGGACTGCTTTATTGCCGGGCCACGGTCAAACCGGTCCGACCAGTCGGTTTGGTCCAGTTCTAACAACATTGATAGACATTTAATTCTATGTTTATATATTTAGTGAAAATTTATAAACATTAATTAATTTACATTTTTTTTCTTCATAAATATCTTAAATCATCGAACTCCCTCATTTTAGAATTCTTTGATCCGCAATGGAAATCAAACGACATTGTACATTCCCTTGCACTAGTTCTTACATTTTAGGGTAGAGAAATGATAAAAATAAATATTTGCACGCTTTAATCGGTTAGTTTTTATTTTCTTCATAAAAAATAACAAAAAATAAAAATAAAACAAAAAAAAATAATAAATGGTAGTTTACGCTTTATTCTTTGTATGTTTTTATTGCCTTTTTCTTTTTACCAAAATCTAACATCCAAACACAGCATTATACAGTGTGTGAAGTGGGATTCGAGTTCTTCACAATTGTAAAAAGTAGACTGATTTTAGAGGAAAAAATAATTGACTAATCAATTTGAAAGGAAATTGTCCAGAAAATTGGGTAAGCCTTAAATATAACAAAACTTTTCTTTAGTGCATGTGGGGAGTCGTCTATTTCTTTTTGAAGTCTATGGTCGGAATATGTGACGAAATTTACATGCAGAAATTATATTGCTGTCTAGAAGCAAGACTTGTTTATCTACAAGTGTGACTATTGACAATAATCCCTCTCTCTCTCTCTCTCTCTCTCTCTCTCTGGAATCTTAACCAAAGCATATTAAGACAAAGATAAAGAGGTAGAGGATTCTAAAGTCAAGCTTACTACTAAACAGTTGTGAAAACAAGAAAAGAAAAGGACTGTTCCTCAACATTGGAAAATAATATATGAAATATCATAATCTCAAAGATTTATCTTGATCACCTGCACACACACACACACACACACACACACACACTATAATATATACACAGTGGTGGTAGTATATATATCAGGTGCTAACTAGTGTGTGAAAATATTAATAGAGTGGAGGAGGGAGGGAGCAGAGGAATTAATAAAGAATGGGAAGGAATCCATGCTGTGAGAAGAGCAAAGTGAAAAGGGGGGCTTGGTCTCCACAAGAAGATGCCACTCTTATTGATTATCTCCACAAGCATGGCACCTCTGGCAACTGGATTTCATTGCCTCTCAAGGCTGGTATCTCTCTCTCTCTCTAGAATCTCTCTCTCTCTCTGGAAAATAATTAATGCATAAACTGGAAATATAAATAATATTTAGCCAAAGCTCAGGTCTTCAGCGTTGTGGAAAGAGTTGCCGCCTCAGATGGCTTAATTACCTTAGGCCAGATATTAAGCATGGCCCCTTCACACAAGAGGAAGATAATATTATTTGCAGTTTATACACTAAAATTGGAAGCAGGCAAGCTTTTTTTATATACATGTATATTTTTTTTTACTTGTATAATATATAAATTCACTTAAATTATTCTTGTTAATTCACTCATATATATATCCATAGATGGTCTGCCATAGCTTCACACCTGCCAGGAAGGACAGACAATGATGTGAAAAACTACTGGAACACAAAACTTAAAAAGAAGCTCACCACCACCACCACAGGCAAGGCTGCAGCCACCGCTGCCGCCTCCCGCTCCACCACAAACCCCCCAACAAATGTTTCCGCCCCAACTTCTCCGGTGCCTCTAGTTCTACCTAGCAGCAATAACTCTGTCCTAGCGAATACCGACGACCAAAGTGTTCATTCGTACGACGAACCCGTAAATTTCACCTTACCGGGATTGATTCTAGAAGGTTCGAGTAATTATTCAAGTGGCAATAACAGTTGCCCTTTTATGGATGAAAGTTGTGGAGTTCTGAGTTGGATTTGGTCTCAAGAGGAAGAAGCCATTGGAGCTGATAACAATGCAGATTTGTTCAGTATTTTCTCTAAGCCACATGGACTCAGTCAAACTCACTAACCTCTACACACATCAAATGTAAAGGGTAGTCTTTTGTGCATGTGATGTGTAAATTGCTTTCAAGAAATATCAGGGAATGTACATAATTAAAATTAAGATGTCACCTTATAATTATTATGTATATATATTATGCCTCAATGTATAATGCAATTATTATCTTAACATGTTGAATATTCTGATAAATTTAACTTCATAAAAACAGCAGATTATAATGTCATATAATAATATAGGCTCTTCTGATACACACTGACATGACTCAAGTAGGATAATCAAATATATTGACAGAAATAACAATCCCATGCTTGAAAAATAAGATATGCTTAAATGACTCCATAAGAATTCAAAACATGAATTACTTTGTCATCTATACAGTTTTTTCTTCGGACCGTAAATGCGTAATCCAGGAAATTTGGTCTGAGAATGGGCAGTAGCGAAAGCGTTGGTCTCAATTATATAGTACATCTAATACTACTGTTTCTTCGGATTTTCGAATTGATATCTGCAAGGCAGCCATCAAATAATAACTGTCATCAGCCTTGTGCATCATTCACGAATTCTTTTCCGTTAGGAAATCCAACAATAAAAACCAAAACAAGATCGACATAAACTTGAGTCACGTAACACTATACACAATCAACGGCAAAAGAATCAAATATTACATCAAAATCTGCAGAGCATTTTACGTTATCAAGAATTCAAGGCCCATAAAATTGAACTGGAAAGCAGATTGTGGTAGTATATACACTAACTAGCTTATAATTTTCTTTTCCCATTCACTCAAAAGTCAAAATAGATAACAAATCAACAGGTAATATAAAATCCTTATATATAGTATAGCACAAATTGGCAATAATCCACTGTTTCAGTATATCATACATGCCACATAATTGTTAATTCAAATTTCTTGAATTGCTAGAATTTACCAATCAAACACTAATAACATAGGATAAGAAAATGACCTCCTTAAAGGGCCATTTCTCTCTGCAACTCAGCGAGCTCGTCGTCATCATCTTCAACCTTGACTGGTTGCCTTCCAGCTGGAATGCGAACAGGACCATCAGGAGCTGTAGTTGCAGGTTGCAGAAGCTGTTCCTCCAGCTCAGCTCCTTCGAGTTCTTCAAGCTCTGCCTCCAATTCATCCTGTGGAAGAAAAAAAGAATAAGATGTTTCTCTTCACATAAAAGAAATAAAAAGAATAAAGTATCAGCAAATACGGCGTACCTCATCGAAGTCAGCTGCTGCGCCAATTGGTGTTGAGAGTGCTTCTTGAATTTGCTTCATATTCTCCGTCTGCTCGTTGATTTCATCCATTGTCTTGTCCACGTCATCAATATTACTACATAACGAAAAGCAAGTAGAGAAATGTCAATGAGGAAATAAAATTTTACGTGTACCAGAGCAAGGTGGGTATGTGTCTCTAAATAACAATCATGTCAAGATGTCATGTGCTAATTAGTAATCTGTTGCTTTTCATAATTAACGTGACAGTCTATTTTCCCTTCATATCCAAACATGAAGAGAGTAATATGAACCCTAAGTCGTACACTTTTCTGTAAATAAATTGAAATTCAGCAGTGACGTGCTGCCTTGAATAATAAATGATAAGTGTGGATAAGGTGAAACGCTTTCAAGCTAATTAATCTTCATAAAGCTTCCCTTGATTCTATAAATAAACTACATCATTTTCCATTTTTTATCAGTTCCTGCTCTTTCCCAATTATTCTCAGTGCTGGTGGGTGTTTTTTTAATCAAATGAGATGAGGATTGTCTTTGTTAACTGCTCACAACTTGCTAACTTAGCATATATATGACTCCACAGATTTATTTGGGGTCAACACAACTTACGTTGCCTTTTGCATAGCTTTCATTGCAGCTGCTCCAGTTCTCAAAGCGTCGACAGTTTCTGTTGTAGCTTTTGCGCCCTCTAACATTATCATCTGCAAACAAGGCGCACGAAGAACTTAACAAGATCAGGTGGATAACAAAACTATCAGCAGGAGAAATGCACAATTGAACACTTATCAAGAGAACCTGGTCATGAATGCGCAATTGGAAATTTCCAAGCTGCTCAATTTGTTGCTCGTAGAGCCTTTTCCTCTTCAAACATTGTATTGCAGCTATAAAAAAATTGCCAACAGGAACGTCATTAAGAAGATAGCGATTAAATTACATACTATGCCTAGTCTTGAACTTCAAAACAAAGTGCAGAATATTCTGAAGTAATACGTCAAAGAAGAACATTGCAACCACATAATCATACCCCTTTTATTTTTAGCTCTAGTAAACTCCTTGGCCTTTTCAACTTCAGCACCAGCCTTCTTCAAGAGGACTTTCTCTTTTTTCTCGAGCATCTCAAGAGTCTGCATAACATGCACAGCAGGAGTTGAGTAAATTAGGTACCACAGCGATGATGATTGAATTCCATCAACATCAAATCATCAAATAAATTATACCAAAAATAATTTGACCACTAAATTATACAAGACACAAGCATAGAAAATACGAAACGTGCAAGTAAGAGAGGGTCTCCTAGATAGTCATGTTTTTATCACCATTTTCTGCACCATGGAGGACGAACTAAGAAAGTATTTGGAAGCAAATAACTTATTAAGCTTTATAATTCCTAAAACCAATCTACATGATTAACGCGAGTTAAAAACAGACAACTATGAGAATATCTTTCACAATATCGCAAAGTGCAAAACATATGTGAATACGGTACAACACTCCAAAATGCTAGCACAAACACTAACCCAGAAAGGAAAATGCAAGCAGAACAAGATGTTTAAACTATAGGATCCTACCCCAAAATCATATTTAAAGTCACCCATCTACAGTTATTCTACGACACCAATCATATATTCAGAGTTTACTAAAGCTTCAACATACAAATCAACATTTATTGCATTAATAAATAAAAAAAAAATAAAAAATTAAATTACGGCAGAAACAAAAGAACTTTTTAAAATAAACAAAACCTCGTTTAACTTGTCCAGCGTTGCCAGAGCATTGGTCTCTTGCTTGGGCTTGCCGAAAATTCGTGTAAACATCGTCGATGATTTATTTTCCCAAAACGATTATAAATTACAGAGAAAAAACTCAAAAAAAAAATTGGAGTCCTACCCCTGCAATAAAAATAAAAAACGCAAGCCGATTTGATCTATGAACATTGAGAATTCGGATTTACTTTAAAATGACAACAGAAATTAATCGAATATTCAGCTGAACATATATAAATCTGTGCTTATCGAATCATCACCAACCTGGGGATTTAAACGATTAGAAAAATCGGTCGGATTAACCAATTAACTTTATGCAAAATATCGTAATTACGAAACAAAATATACAGATTGCAGAAGTCGCTGGGTGGGTTGAATCCTTCCGTGTTTTAGATCGCTTCGCTTGGATATGGGGTTAGAGGGAAGTATCAATTGACAGGTTGTTCATATAACAATGTGACGGACCAAATAGATTTGACGCTAGAAAAGATCTCCATTAAATTGCATAATAGTCCCTCATGTTTTGAGACTTGTTCAATTAGGTTCTTTTAGTCTTTTTAGTTTTCGTTTTAGCATGGCAATTTCATCAAATTAAACAAAACACCAACGTTTACTTTTATAAAAGTTTTTACAAACAACTAATTTTTGTTTTCAAACGGCTCAATTCCCTATTATCCAGTGTTCAATCTAGAAATCCAAGTAAATGGCGACTTCAATCGAAAACCATCACCATGCTACAATTATTCGAAATCCATAAACTCTAGATTTACCACAATACACATATTGAGTTGACTTACCGACACATTCATAGTCAACACATTCATATTATTTGTCCCTCTCTCTAAGGCAATATAAATAGGCACATAACCAAGCTAATGAGTTGCCGGAAAAAGACAAGCTAATGACAAAAGTACTGTAATATAGAGAGAAATAAAAGAAGAGAGAGAAGCGACAAGTTCAAAACTAAACTAAGAGTTGAGTTGAGAGAAAAATGTTAAGTTCGAGCGAGTGGATTTTCACAATTAAACAAAATAATCTGAACGGTCAAAATCTAGAAAGTTGACTATGAATTGAGCTTCAATTGACTTGGGCATTTTCAGAAGCTGGACCGCTGATAGCTAAGTAAGTATGAGCCCAATCTTAAAATTTATTTATGGGCCCAAATGTTAACATGTACACTTGGTTCTCTCTCATTCATTTCCTATTCAACTCAAAACGGTCCTCCGTCTTTCGCTAATTAAAATTCGATTCAAAATCTAATAATTTATATACAGATATATCCTAACTTTCGCATCTTGATCTGTTGTTTTCCATTTCCCCAGCAGATCCAGCCATGGATTTCATGAAGGTCTTTGATCAAACTGTCCGTGAAATGTATGCAATTTTTTCTCGTTTAATTATTTATTACTCGTCTTATTTTGTTAACCGACTGGCTTAGATTTTTCTCTATGTTAAATGCAGAAAGAGAGAGGTTAATTTGAAGGTGTTGAAGGTTCCAGAGATTGAACAAAAGGTAATACTGATAGATTTATATGAATCATGTAGTTTTTTTTAGCTCAATTTATCGATTTCAATTATGTGATCCAGCTACTTTACTGTTTTCAGCTTATTTTACATTTCTTAGTGGTTTATTCTACTAGAAGACCTAGGTGAAAATATGGCCAGATTTTACTGTAATTGAAATTTAGTTGTTGAAAACCACAAATGGAGGGTTAAAAAACAATTAAGGAAGAAAAGATGAGTAGGTGATACCTGGTATTCACAAAATTTTCGAACCGTGGCAGTGAAATAATGCCCAACCCGAAACATTTGTGGTTCATTGTTCCGATTCATATTTTTATGCACGAATATAGACTTCAATTGGCAAGGTTTTGATTGAATAACTATAAACCATCCAGATATTAGCACAGATTGGCTCCTTATTTCCAGAAAGTAGCATTACGTATGGGATGGTTTTTTGACTTTTCTATTTAAGTTAGGTGTTGGATGCGACGGATGATGAACCTTGGGGTCCTCATGGTACAGCGTTGGCAGAGATTGCAAAGGCCACAAATAAATTGTACTCTCTATACTTTTCTTTCAAAACTTTAATTTTTCCATGACTATAGTGTACTTTTTTTTCCTATAAACTTGCTTGAAGTACGACAATTTGCTTTTTGGCCTCTTATCTGATATGTTTGAGATTTTATGCAGCTCCGAATGTCAGTTGGTTATGAATGTCCTCTGGACAAGATTGACCGAGACTGGCAAGGACTGGCGATTTGTATACAAGGTAGCAGCTCATTTTTTTTTCTATAGCTAACGCACCGCATATTGAATTCGATGAGTCAAACGAGCAAACATATAAGCTGTTGTCCTTTCTTTTCGTCCTACTGTCATTATTTTAGTGAACTTTTTATATCGTCGGGGAGAAATTTATAATATTTTTCTGTGCTAGTCATTAACTGTTATAGAGTACCTGGTGGCTCACGGATCAGATCGTGCTGTTGATGACATAATAGAGCACACCTTTCAAATATCTGTATGTATCTTCATCTCTGACTAACTCCCATCTGTATACTTTCAAAAATGGCAAAGTTGTAGGGAGATTATTAACTGGTTTGTCTCTATCCTTTTGTTATCGTTCCATTTTCGTTTCTCTAGTCTCTGGCAAGTTTTGAGTATGTTGAGCCAAGTGGAAAGGACCTTGGAATCAATGTAAGAAAAAAGGCAGAAACTATTGTGACTCTTCTGAATAACAAAGACAAAATACAAGAAGTAAGAAGTAAAGCTGCTACGAATCGTGAGAAGTAAGCTTATGCATTGAGTTCTAAATTCGAACATATTGGTTTATGGTTTGTAACTTTAACTGTTTCACCAATGGTTGATTTATGATCCTTATTGTTGCTTGTTAGGTATATTGGAGTTTCATCATCTGGAATAACATACAAATCAGGTGCAGCCTCTTTCACTAGTTCTAGCTCTAAGAGTAGTGATCGATATGGAGGTTTTGGTAATCAAAGAGACAGCGAGACGTTTAGTGATAGTTACAACGACAAGGATCAATATGGTGAAGATAAATATGTGAAGTCTACTACATCAAAGAAAGAGTCTTCTCGTTACGGCAGGTCTGTGTACTGTGGTTACATCCGTCACTGTGTAGTGTAACTCTTAATTTTCCTATATTTTCTTCACGAATTTTAAATCTTAAGAATGTTATGGTTTTGTGCACCTACTACAAACCATAAAAAGCTGTCATATATGCTCGTGGGTGCATAACTTGAAGGATCAATTCTAGTATTTCACTCTTTATTTCATATCAGCTGTCAAATTATGCAAAAATTTCCAGTGAGTTAACATTTTTTTTTCTGGAATTCTTACTCTCTTCAAATACTCAAAAAATTATTATGTCTATGATGCATTTTGGCATAAGCTCTCTGTAAGTGATTTATAGAGTTTTGGACTTAGTGAGACAAGTGATACGTTATCGGGTTTGGTAATTTAGTCTTTGTTTTGTTTGATGATACTTCTGGTTTATTCTCTCTAAATTTCAAGAATGTTTTGCAGCATGGGTCAAGACTCTCCTGCCAAAACTGCATCAAAAACATCAACAAAGACTAGCAAGCCAAATATACAGGCTTCAGTTACCTCACCACCTTCAGAACAATATGATGAAGATTTTGATGACTTTGATCCACGTGGGACTTCTAGTGCCAGTGAGTAACAGTAATGAGAGCCCACTTTTTTGTTATGCTGTAAAATCTGGACCGATTATATTGTTACGCTTTCTGCATGCAATGTGCGTGGAAACAAATCAACAATCCCTCCCTTGTTAAGAGAATATGAAATTTTAACTTCTAAATCTGGGTAAAATAGCTGTTCATGGTCAGTCGCTCGAAATGATGCATGACTTATATCCTTGCACACATGTAATATATGCGATGCATATGTTAAACTTCCAGCATTGAACTTAGTAGTGATTGTAACCTGATACGTTGTATGGTAGCATCTAGCATGAATAAGACAAATAACAAGGGAGGTATTTCTTCTCACTCTTTAGCGACAATAACTGTATATCTAAAATGCTGAACTGTTTAATCTCTCAACTCGATTCTCACACCCTATTTGGACGCCGTTCTTCCAAAATGTTGTTGCTTAGTGAAATTATCAACTGGTGATAAAGGGACACCATTCCTTTTATGAAATGTTTTTAAACTATCTTTTGCAAATGTTGAACAGAACCTTCTTCTGGAAGTCAACAAGTAGATCTATTTGGGCAAGATTTTGTCGGTGACCTTTTGGATGCACCCGTATCTGTTCCAACCCATAAGTCTAATTCATTGGACGATGATTCATCAGAGGTTGATTTATTTGCTGATGCTGCTTTTGTATCAGCAACACCCCCACCAGCAGGAGGGAAAATTCCTGAGCCTCAGGTAAGGCTTTTCTCAGAAGTACTTGACATGGCTCTCTCTCTATATATATTTCTTGTGTGTGTGTGTAAAATTGAAAAATCGACAATTATTCAATTCTTGAAAATGCTCAAATCTTCTGCTGCTAATTTAGTTTGTTCGGGGTCTTTTGCAGATCAATGTTGATCTATTTTCCTCCCAGCCTACCCCTTCTCCTGCTGTTTCTACAGCAACGGATTTCTTTGCTGCACCTAATCCAGCTTCCCAACTCAATAGCCAAGCGTCAAAATCTGCCAACATTGTCGATCCATTTGCTGATGTTCCGTTGAACAATTTTGATGGATCTGATCCTTTTGGCGCCTTCACTTCTAACGCAGATCCTATTTCAACATTTTCTAACCAAAATTCTTCCAATGATGAAACCCATGGAAACATGAAGGGAACTTCCACTGAAACCAAGCCCCCATCAAAGGATGCTTTTCAAGTCAAATCTGGAATATGGGCAGATTCTTTGAGCCGGGGACTAATTGACCTAAATATAACCGCACGTAAGTATTTCTCACTGGCAGCAAGCACTGTATAAGTTGAACAACAAGTTCTTGCGAGTTGCAAATGTTTTTTTCAACTTTAGACTGAAACAAAAAAAATGACAAAAATGTGAATTAGCCAATATTATATATACCCCAAACTGGAAGCGATAAGTGTTTTGGTTTATGCTAATATTATTTGTGTTGCAGCTAAGAAGGTCAACCTATCGAATGTTGGTATTGTCGGTGGGTTAACTGATGGATCAGAAGAGAAAGACAAAGGGCATTTGCCTTCATTTTACATGGGCAAAGCTATGGGTGCTGGAACTGCAGGTGGTAAATCTGGGTTCACATCAACACCATTAGATGATGACTTCTTCTCGAGCCTAAGCACCCAACAAGACCAATTTGGAAGCTTTCAGAAATGAATTATTATTATTATTATTATTATTATTATTATTATTATTATTTCTCACCTGAAGGAAGTGCTGGTATTTGATTACTACATTTTCACTTGAGATTGTAAGGGTTTGATTTTCTTATCATGTGAAGCTTGTAAACAGGAGATGTATATTTGTGCTTGGATGTCGTTTTTGGTTACATGTAAGCTTGTTCGTGAGAGATGTATACTTGTGTTCAGTTACCTGTAATTTCTATCATTTGTTACTCTATGTGCCATTAAGGAGAAAACTTTGCGAACACGTACCTGCATTTGTTCATGTATTTCACTTCTACATAAGGTATACTACATACAATGTGTCTATCAACAAATATTAGGTGCAACAAATTAGGAGTTTGTTTAACCGCATTGGAAAATACGCTGCATATGTAATTGTCTTTTAAAGAGTTACGATCGAAGGGGGATCCTGGGTTCAAGTCACAACTGGTCTAAAATATTCGATACAGCCCCTTCAATATACATCAAAATTGGAACGTGCTTTGTTTATGCCCCAATTTTTCACAAACACAAGATATCAAATACAGACCATTTATTTACACCAAGAACTTTTGCTAGTAGATTTGCAGCATTCTACCCCTTATCATGGCTGCTGCTTTCCTGACTTGCTTTACTGGGCCAACTATGAAGACCTGCACCGAAAGTGGCAACATTGTTATTTCTATCGTAGAGAATCATAAAACCTTGAAATTACAAACATATTTAAAAAAAAAAAAAAAAAAACAGATTAGGTTAATGGGCGGCTAGTAAAGACATACTAGTAACTGAAAGACTAACCTTGTCTGGAGGACCCTTATCACCTCCGAAAAATATTTCAGCGCTGCAAATTTCATCATAAAGACAGGATGAAAGTTATCTCGAGTTCAATCAGAAGAAAAACAGAAACATTTTTCTAAATAGGATATGCACAGTATAAACACATCGAAAAACATGCGAATGGGTTAAAGGCTGATCATCTAAATAGAGATGCCATCATTACTTGTGCTGTAATTAATAAAATGAAAAGACCACAATTGTGCATCATGGGAGAATAGCATACCTGCATGATTCCTTTATCGACAGGATATTAGCTCCTCGTTTTCCAATAACACATCCCATTTTTCCTTGTGGAACATCAAGAACAGACAGAATCTCTTCTTCTGGAGCATTTTCATCAGCAATCAGATTGTCTGCAGCAATGAAACAACCACAGAATCAGCATACGAGATATGAAATTATACAGTAGTATGAAAAGGTGAATACAAATTCAACAAGGTCCTCCATCAAACACATACAAATTATAAAGGCAAGAGAATCCAATAACCTACTTAAATCTCATAAATATTTTATGACCAAAATTTACATATTACCAAAGCTTCTTTTTCCATTCGGTACCCTTAACCTAAAATTGTCACAATGTATAGATTTTGATTACTCACCAGATTCACATTTTTATGGTAGGTCAACCACCTGCAGCAATGCAATTGTACAAATAAAAACCAGCAATGCATCCTGAGACACCATCTTGATGACAGATATTAGCCTTGACTTACTATCTATAGAATCACTGACTAGACCAACCATATCACGGTTCCAATATGTCCACGCTCACCTAGCCTTATTCATTGGATAATGGTTAATACCCAGATCAATCTATCACAGGGTGATCCTCATGTATTAAAGTGTGACTTAGATATCAAAGTTTTCTATTTTTAGTATTGACTCTACTTTTTCTTCAATCAAAGAATTGGTCGACGTGGTCCAGATCCAATTCCTGTGTATTGACAGTTTAATACAAGAGTATGACTAGAAAATCAGCCATTGTTCTTGAGAATTGTGATATTACATTTGCTATATGACAACCAAATAAATCCGTATTTGTATTGTATTTGTTCCGAGGTAGTTATTTCCAAATAACTGAGTAACAAAATGACAAGCACATTAATAAACATATACATTTTTCTGGAAAGCCCATGGTTATATGATACAATTGATAACCCTGTTCATTATAATGTTATGTGTCAATGCCCCATATCTATTTAACACTTGCAAAGTACAAAGATAAAATAATATCAGAGTGGCAGAAGAGATTAAATACCTGGAACTGGAGGCAATGCTGGCCAGTCGTCAAAATTATTTTCACTGATGCAGAAACAACGGCAATAAAGTGCACCACGAACTGAAAGATACCACAGCGATCTCTGGTTTAACTTCTCCACCATCTTATGGTAAATAAATGGAAGAAAGCGGACATCGTCTGCAGCTGCCCGGACCATTAGTTCAGATAATGGTCTATATGTCCAGAACTTCGGATCCTGGGAATGAAGAATTTATCAGGAACAAGCCAAGAAAAACAGCCAACATTAAAACTATTCCACAGGAACAACAATTGTTTCCAGATTTTCAAGTGTAACCAACAGAACTATAGTAATACATGTCATAAATCTTAAGGTTGAGATTTTAAACCATTCTCAGTTCTCACTATGATTGTGGACTAGAGTATGCAAAATTTTCAAATAAAATTTAAAAGAACCATGGAAGAGGCTTAACAAATGGCAACTGAAATTAAGACAGCACCACAAAATGGGTAACTAATGCACATAGATAACTACAATATACGAGATGCAAGAAGTTGTAGATCCCAGTTCTCAAAGGTTCTCAAGTACTTCAAGGAAGCACGAATTAAGTAAAAACATGAAAAATGACCCATTGACAATCTGTAACTGAAAAATGAAAAGCTCATTTGCTCCCAAAGATGTCAGAATGACTCTGATGTTCAAATTTTTTAACTCCAGTAGAAATGGAGTCGATGACTTTGTAAAATAATTTTCAGAGTTCAAGTCACTTTTCATACTTCATAGCAACGAAGATTTAAATAAATATCCTGACATTACTAATTTCAGGTAGTTTATTCGTGGGCATATATCATCAAATGGTTGATAGAAAAAATCACAAATTGAAACATAAGACTTCTGTCGAGAAAGCAAGAACATAACATTTCGTCCAGTTAACTAAATCAACCTGATTCACGTAATGATAAGGAGTTCCAGAATAAATAAGAAGAGACCAAATCTAACCTGCCTCAAGAGAATGCGAACTTCTTCCTTTTCAACATACGATATACCTGTAACAATCCTTCTTTTAAACACAAGCAAATTGAAGCTCTTGGCATAAAGAAACACACAATATAGAAGTCCCTTATAAAAGAGCATCTAAACCTTGGATACAATATACTAAATAGTAAAAAACTGGGTAACACCAAGTTTAACATAGTATAAGATTTATATGGATAGAACAAAGTTGAAAACAACATAGCGAAACATATAGTTCTTTACACGGAAAACCAAATTGAAAAACGGCATAATAAAACATAGTTCGCAAAGCTGTGGAGGATTATGTCTAAATACATGTACAAACTTGGAGTTTAACATCGGGACAGAACAACCAATTAATTGTGGAAGGGGCAACGGTAACAATACTGATGGTTTTTCCTTTTAATTGTGTAAGCTAATTTTTATTTTATTTTTGTTATACCAAACAGATTTAAGCATAACTAGTCTTATTGACCTCATTTTAGTAAACATAATTTGAGGTGTACAATTTTCACAGGAGGGTGTGATTTCACAGAACAGTTGGTTCCCAAAACTGTAGCTCAAGTCTCAAACCCTCATTCATACATCGTTTCATCCATGCTATGCATCTTCACCAAGCAAATAACTGACTAGAATTTATAACAGGTGAACAATAGAAAGTGTTCTAGTCCCAAAAAATGATAAAGAATGGAAAGGAAAAACAAATTGATTACCACCAAACCGTGGGTCAGCAAGCAAGCCAACAAATGATATGTAGTCATCTGGCACTCTTGTCTGTCCTTCTTGCTCCTTTATCAGAGAATAAGCAATCTGCTTGTGAACATCACCGAAAGGAGGCAAAGAGTTTTTTAAAATTTCATTTTAAAATCAAAAGAGATAAAGTTATTTCTCAATTCCATAAGCTATTGAAGGCAAAAGAGGAGAGGAAAAAAAATGGCAATCACACACAACTTTTGTGCAATCCAATTTTCCCCAGAGAAGAAATCTCTATATGCCCACTCACACACACAGACACAGAAACCCGTCACCAATACCAAAAGTCATCAAATCCAGCATATCTAATCAAGGGCCAGAGATACATACACCCTATCACCAGAAGGTTTAAACTGAAAAGGACACCGGAGTTGCTGACAGAAAATTAGCCCAAAACTCGTCAAGTAAATGGACTTTCAAGTCAAATAGAAACTGTTTAGATTATCTGACCACATAGTCACCACTAGCACTAATAAATTGCAGATAGAGGATTAAGTATTCAAACATTCATTTTTCAGGCATAGGAAGTTCATGTACTTTGCATGTTAAGGTATGATACAACTTCACAGAATAATCTGTATTTGAATTTTAAATAATCATTTTTCTGAAATTCAACAACCAAAATAGATACCAACCTGCGTGTCCACGACATTATGCAACTTAATGCCAAACTGAAAGTATAGCGCCTGAAACATATAAACAGACATGAGAAACAAATTGTGGAATATTTTGGACAACATGAAGGTGGATGGGAAGAGATCAATCAGCAAGAGACCTCACTATCTCGTTTGCAGTCGTGGATGACTTTAGTGATGTAATTAGACTCAAGTGCAGGCTTACACGCTTTAACAAGTGTCTCTCCACCCTCAATGGCATCAACCAGATATATGGCATTTGAAAAGGCAAGCTGCACAAAAAATACCATTAGGCAAGAGTACACAAACGTCAGAGCAGTAAAAACTCACAAATTTTGGAGGCTGTAGAGATTAGTGTTTCTCATTGGGCTGGCGTTCATTATCAGTATTTTATAACGAACTAGCTCACGAAACTAAATCCTTCATTTCCATTTCAAGGAAAGATGAACTAGTCAGAGCAGTAAAAACTCCACGTGTCTACACAACAAATATTTGATTAAAGTCGCTCTCAGTCTATGACAGTTGAAGTTTTGTAAGTAGCCAAGAAAAATAACCATTAATAAACAAAAAAGTTGCATGATATGAGTACATGTAGTAGTACGCAAACTTGCTTTTTGTCAAATTCTTACATTTATTTAACAGATGCAATCAGAGAAAAAAGTTAAAAATAAAAAATGGAGTTGACATTGCTTTCTGGACAACACATTGATAAAATGCCCTCAGCTTCTAGGAGTCCACAAAAATAACGAGATGGTATATTGCGTAAAAACGTATGGACAGTTGGACAGACATTAAAAAAAATCGAAAATGGAAGTCTGCAAAAGACAGAAAGGCCAAAATTTAGAGTAATCATCTCTTGAAGTTCAGAAATATCAACCCCCAGCCCAAAAAACAACTATGCTCAAACAAAATTGAAACAAACCTGCATGATACAAAGAGTCCCGTGACGGCAGAGATCCACCCCCTCACAGTCAAAGCCTATGACCAGTTGCTTCTCATGTGAAGGCTGCAGGAATTCTGCAGGAAGTTGAGAAGCATGGGTGACAACATGGATTGGAACTGTAGACAAACATTCTTCGTTCTCAACGGGTTTGTCACCTGAAAAATTAGAGTAAAGGAACCTTCAATATACAAATGAGGTGATTAGGGAAGTTTTAGCTCTTACAGATGACTGTACTAAAAGCAGCATATGGCACATACGCAGACATAATTTAACAAGGCACTTTCTCCTCAAAGTTTTTTCCAGCCAACATTTAAAGCTAAGTGACCCCATTTTCATACACTGTTCTATTGAATTTTAAAAATCACGTAACTGCAATTGATGTACAATATATGAGCCAACCTGTGGAAACTGGAAAGGCTTGGGTTCTCAGTTAAGCATCTAGAAACTGACTGCGATCAGTCGATTCTAATTTTTTTAACAGTATAACTTCAAGATCAAGAGTGTCGAGTGTCGACGAATGGTTCTTCCTCCCAAATGATCTCAAACAAACATGATTCTATGCTTTGAAAGCTACCACATAAATAAATTAAAACACCACACAAGTACAAACAAAACCATTCCTTCATATATATTTCTCCATGTTAGATAACCAAAGTTTCACAAAGGCGATGAGTGTTTCACCTCTATATCACTTACCAGTTTACATGTTGTCTACAGGCACACTCATTTCTGTTGCAGTTTAACGAGTCCAACAGCTTTAATTAGCTAGGTTTTAGTACATAAACAAAATTAACCCTCTGTATGTATAAAAATGTATGCATACGGGAGCATAAATCCACAGCCACCAACATTTATCAACAGTTACCCAAAAAATCCACAAAATCGCGTCGAACTAACAATAAAACGTAAGTACAAAAGAAGGAAAATATACGAAATGACGTGCTACCCCAAATTAATTCTCAAATATCAATTTTCCACTTCTCCGTCAAAAACAATGGCCAAACAAATGAATAGAACACCGATTTCCAGAAATCAATAAACAGATTAGATTACACTGATTTAACGGGCGAAAATAATCGGTTAAAATCGATTCAAATGCGTATCAAATTTAACTTCTGATCATTTCGAAATCATCTATTGAATTAATTGAAAAAAAAAAAGAGAGAGAGGAGGATGAAGAGGAAATTACCAGGGTCCGGAGGGAGAGGAATGTGGGTCTTATGAGGGGACGCCATTCCAGAATTTTTGGGGAAATTCCGAAATGGATTTCAGCGTCTATTTAAATGCTCTGCTGCACAAATGCTGAGATCGCCGCCTCTGGTTCGTTTCACTCCAATTTTATACAATAATATAACAACCATACGTAAGCAAAGCTAGATGCTGCTGTTTAATTATTTTGAATTTAATATGTCAAAGAATTATGCAATCTATATCACATTAGTCTAATTATTTGGATTATAATAATAATAATATAATTTTGAAAAATAAATTTCCTGTGCAAGTCGTGATAATTGTAATCCATAATCGTATGTTCTATATCAGCTTATAATAATTATTTGGATTATAATAATAATATAATTTTGAAATACAAAATTCCCATTATTCTAATTATTTGTATTATACATTTATAATGATAGATTTTTGGAATCACTTTTCTTATTTTCGTCATTAGATTGGACGAAATAAAGTTGACTTTAAGAATGAAAAATGTTAGGTTTCATTAAGGGGTAATTGCACATAAATCTATTTTGACAACTAAAAAAAGTCACGTTTTAAATGCAGTTCAATCCTTCTTCCGTCTTTTTTATTCTCTCTCTTCATTTGCTCTTTCCGCCGTAACGGAAAAATCAATGTGAAACCCAAAATAGTTAGAAATAATGAACCAAACCCTGTGTTCGTTGTAATTTTTGAAAACTCCAGTTACAAAAATCAACTGCACATCATTTTTCATTGAAAGTAATTCGACTTCGATCGATATATGTCGTTATAAGATAGTGAGACAATATCCATCCCGATGCACTGATGCTTCAATACATGGCTCATCGGGCTAAGGACCGTAATTAGCTTTAGATTATGTATTGGGCCTCTATCTTACAACTACGGATTTGGGCCCTTCCATTAATTCTTGTTGTAGATCGAGAGTTGATTGATTTCTCAAAAAAAGAAAAAAAAAGAAAAAGATCGAGAGTTGATCGACTTTCTGAAATTTTACCTAACTACAAATAAATTACGAATTTTGATAGCTTTAAATTATTCTCTGAATTGATTTACTATTTCAAGGTAGATGATCAATTGGGACTGCATTGATCAAATGCCATCTTCCAATGCAATTTGAATTAAAGAATGAAACGACTACGATATACCAGAACCCGTACATGTACGTCTCGAGTATTCGGTTTAGCTAAACAAAAATCACAAGTAATCTACATCTTTAAAACTTGCAACCACAAGCTCACATTTACTACAACAGATTACAGTGCATAACTGGACTGGAAAAGTTGGATAAACAACATACACCAAAAAGAAGAAAATATAATAATAATAATAATAAATCCTTACATTGAATTGTACTGTTCTCTTTCTTCTTGTATGGTCCGAAAGATTCTCGCAGCAGATTCCGAAGCAGACAATCCATTACGGGGCACAACCTTAATCACCCGCGTTGGTTTCAAGGCATCCACAGCAGCTGGGGTAGTGGGGAAAAGCGGAAGCATATTCCTTCTTTCAAATTCAACACCGTTGCTTCCTCTTTTACGCCTCCCACTCGGGCTACTAGCTGTGCTCCCTTGCATTTCGACATCCCATAAAGCGGGCCCGCTTTTTTGTACAGCTGGGCCTGCAGCAGCTGGGGCTCGTATGGTCTGTTCGGGGGGCGGGCCCGAGAATGCTGACGTGTCCATAATCGGGACACAGTAAGGAGGGAAGTAGCCGTGGGGGGGGAACTGAGGGAAAGAAGGTAAATGATGATATTGTGGCGGTGGTGGAGTTGAGAAATTTCCCACCGTTGGATTCGATCCAGGGGGGCCGCAGCCCCCTCCACAGGGTTGGCTGACGAACGGGTACGGCTTATATACCAATCCTTCGGATGGGGACATAACGGGAATTAGCCACTGGTGACCTTGCGGTTGTTGATGGAAGCACGGATTTGTTTGAGTGGAGAGAGATGTTTTTTCAACAGTGTTTTCTGCAGAGCATTCTTTTTCTTGGATTGGTTTATATGAATCATCGCCTTTTCGATTGGGAATATCTGGAATTGATTTAGCTGTATAATCCAACGGGGGTTTATTTGCAGGTGAAGAAGCTTTTGTGGGTTTATTAAAATACGGGGAGTCCTCTAGCAAAAGGTGTGGAGATGCAGCAATTAATCTCTGAACCTGATTTATATGAAAAAAAAAAAAAAACAGTCCCATATCAATACGAAATCATATGCATGAGAGGAAAAATAAAATAAAATTAAAATAAAAAAACTATGTAATTAGAAGCTAATTAAAACTAAATAAACGTCGTCACCTTTATCAATCTATGCAACTCGAATACTTGAACTGCAAAAGCTCTTTGTTGACTGAAACGAAGAAAAGAAGTTAGGTCAAAGACACACAGCAGAAATCTTACAAAGCTTGGAAGAAACCACCACTTTGGCATTTGCGCCCAATAAATTCTAAAATTTAATCCAACAAGAACAATACAACAAGAGGCCCGAAACATGATAAAGATCAAACCGAAGGTGACACGGCGCCATTAATCTTAGATGGTTTGTTTTTCTAACCTTTTCCCGTCTCGTTCCCAAACCGGGAATGCATCTGCATTTTAATTATCTACTTCTCCAGCAACATTAAAGGAACGAGATAACAAATCCGGGAAAGAAGAACGTAGACAAGGAAAAAGAACAGACCACCGCTGATTGACTCACCTTTAATTAAAACGTGTACACTGTCACAGAACCCACCATGGTGTACACAAAACGTGATGCTGCGGTGGCTGAAAGAACTAAATTTCCTCATTTTGAGAGATTATTAGATTCTGCACACACCAGTAAACCCACCGTCTATTTAATGATGCATCAAATAGATCTATATAAATTAGAGGAAAACGAAAAAGGTCCCGCATCCTAGAACTGGTGCCAGAATGCGGATTTTGACTCCAACAACTAAATCATGGATTAAACCAAAACAATTAAATCTCAATGTACAAAAACACGCACAAAATAAACGAGATGTGGCGTAAGCGAGCACAACAACTTACTTAGCAATAGCTGTTCTGGCTTTAAAGAATTGCTTCTGGCCAATTACACCGACAACGTCATCAGGTGTTATATTCACTCCGTTTACAGCCTCCAAAACGGGAAGGTTTCCGAAACACTGTCGCCCCTCTCTTAAGCCTGTTTTCAGTTGGGCCTACAAGGCCCATCTTTCACCAGACACTGCGTCGTGACTAAGATTCGTGGGACAGGTGTTCACATCTTCAGACGGTAAAGCTTCCCTTCGAATTACTAAATAAATTCCCTTGTCCTAATGGCTCCAAAAC